TATTAAGGTCAAGTAAACATGTGTTATAAAGAAAGGAGTAGGAATTCACCTTTAACTATATCCTCTGTGCTGTATAAATGAAAAGTAGCAATGTTTTAAGTGTTTTTAAATTTTCAACATTTAAGAACTCTCTATTAGAAGTATTTTTAAAGAAAATCCATTGTAATGGGAGGTGTAAACTCATTAGCAATGTAGATTAAACAATCAAAGATAAAGAGCAGGATTTCTTGAGCTTCAGGGCACAAGCTGCTGAAATTGGTTGCAGAATTGCAGTTGTCTGGAGAGACTTCCACAATTTTCCTATTTTTATCCCCAAAAGATTGAAGGATTAAATGACAGTATAATATGATAAGCTACCTGCATTACGCAAGTCTTTTCTAGTGTTTTAATCCCTCGTGAAAAAAGTAATAAATACACATATCATAGGTAAATCAGAAATGGTACAAAACGAAGTGGGCAATGAAAACTGGGCCATCTAATTAATAAGATTAGTATTCCAAGTCTTAGACAACCTGACTGAGTACCAGTGTGGGTAAAAGAGAGGCAGCTGCAAGGAAGAAAGTGAACACATTGTCCCATCCTTTCATTTTGAGCCCTGGGAGGGTTGGAGGGTGAACCTTTAAGACTAATGTGTGTGTACAGGAAGAAAGAAGAAAGATCTGGCAAGCAGGCTCTCTTCCCAAGATTTCACTCCATTCTCCTCACCCAACTCCCACCCTACCCCACCTGGCAACCTTGGTCAGATTCTCAGCAGAGGTCTCCCTCAAACAGCCCCAAGACATTTCTTGGAGGTGCCTCACAGGCTAGTTTCTCTTCTTGGGAGAGGCTAGGACTAATGAAGCTTCAGGTCCGACCTCTCCTTTCAACTTTGACCCCGAGAGGCCCCCTGGCTCTTCTGGGCCCCCTGGATATCCTCTGCCCTCCCTCCTCTGGAGACCAGCTGGCCCCCCACACTCACAGTCCCGGCAGTTCCACTGAGGAAGAAAGAGTCTTCTTCGAGTGCCTGGCCTGTGGTGGCGGCACCCAGATCTGAGGCTCCGGCAGCGGGGTCAGAGGGGACAGCGGGGTCAGAGGGGGTAGCGGACAGCGCGGAAGCCAGCGGCAGCCAGCCACCGAGCCGAGCTCCCGGTTCAGCCCGGCATTATTGCCGGACTGGCTGCGGCGGCGGGGCAGGACAGGCGGCTGGGCGCTGGCGCTAGCACGGGCGCCAGCCCTGGCGCCGCTCTCGGGGTGAGCATGGTCGGCTGCCGGCAGCCCCGCGATGCTCACGAGCGCAGCGCGCCCGCGGCTCAGCCCGGTGGGTCCCCGAGAGCGGCTCGGCAGCCGTAGCTCCCGCAGCTGCAGCCCCGCCCGCCAGACGCGCGCTGGTTGCTAGGCACCCAGAGCTTCCGCAGAAGGGGTCCAGTATTAGGGTGTGGTGCCAGCAAGATACTTGCAGTGCTTAGGAGGCTGCTAGGACTCTCAACAAATATTGTGGATCCTGCAGCCTATTGGGTCACAGCTACAAAGTGTAGGGTGGGAGGAGGCTGCTGAAACAGGACAGGGTGCTGTCAGGAGAGTCGGGGACCAAAATCACATAGTGCACCACAGGTTGGGTAGCGGGCCGTCAGCAAAATTGATGTTCAGTTCTCAGGGTTGCATTTTTACAATTCAAACTAAGCAGGTTTTCTAGAGTACTAATGTGACTGCGCCTTCCAAGTAATAGTCTAGCAATACCTGACTAGCCCAATCTTAGGTAAGTGACACAGCCATACCAGCCTAGCCGAACTCCCTGTTCTTTTTTGACTCCTTTGTTTGGGTTCTTCTCTAAGTCTAGGCATGTGGCTCTGAGCTAGGAAGCGTAACATCCTGACATACAGTGTGATCTTGACATGTTCTAAATTCTTTACCTTCATTTCCTGACCCCAGTAAAGCTGCGCAAGTTCATACCTGGTAGTAATGGTTTTAAGATACAGCAAAACTAACCACTTTCAAGACAATACTTTTGTTTTCAATGAACTTGATAATAACCTTTCCTAGCTCTTCTGATTAAAACCAACTCAAATTGGACCTACAACCTTAATACTGCACAATTTACTTGTGTGATTCTTACCTGCGATGTACTTACGTAAGAAAAAGATACTAGCATGCTAGAATAGGCTAAGCATGAAGATTACTACCTGGAGAACCTAAGAGTCTGGAGTGTACCCCAAAGTCAGTAAAATAGTTCTGGTGTTGAGATCAAAGTGGAAAACCACCCAACTAGAATTAACTTTGGACTAAGCTAGCACTCCACAGGTGATCAAGTTTTTAAGTGGGCTTCAAGTTTTGCTATCACTTCCTCTCGGCTATCACACTGATGTGCTTTCTCAATCCCAAGCCTTTGGTCATGCTATTCTATCACTAAGGTGTCCAGATTCTACCTCCTTTGTGAAACTTCCCAATCCTCACAGCAAGAATCACCTATGTGTAAAATATATACAGCTGCAAATCCAATTTTCAACCTTCACTCTGCACACCAATACATCACTAGACAAAAGGACCACATGTACTAAAGGATAGATAGTGGCAGACCAGCAACTGGAAACTCAAACTCTTAAGTGGCTATTAATCTTAAAGTCACTCAATTAAAAAAAAGGGGGAGGGTACAGACAGGGAAAGGTTGGTAGTGCAAGAGGCATTCCTTTGAGTACTAAAATAAAGGCCCAAACTCAAAAACTTTTTAATAGGTGACTGAGAAAAGAATAAACAGAAAAGTACTACAGATGCTATTAAGTGTTTTTAATAATAAAAACCAAGCAGACTTGGGGGCTGCTTTTAGGTTAGAAGGCTAGGCCCCTACTCTGTAAGCTTTTCCCTTTTTGAGGAACAAAGAAAATGCAGAGTTGGCAAATAGAATCTAAACATCAAAACAACAGTCCTCCCAAATATTTCCCTGCCGTAATTCCTGGAAGCTGGGAATATATTCCTATGTACTTTGTAGATGTACCTAAAGGGGTTTAAGATGGGTCAACTGTGTTGACCAAGGTAATTCCTTGTAAGCCGGAGGCTGCGGTTATCACAGCTGGAGAAATGTTAATGTGGAAACATACTGTTCTATGAAGATTGAGTACAGGGACCACTGCCCAAGAAATGCAAGAGGCTTCTAGAAAATTAGAAAAGAAATGGGTTGTCCTCTAGAGCCTTCAGAAAGCATACAGGCCTGTCAGCTACTAGTTATAAGCCTAGGGAAACTGGCTTTGGACTTCAAAACTTGACAATGTGTCTAGTCAAGCATGTGGCATCTCTTACAATAGGAAACAAAATATTTTATGTCCATTATGTATTAGGTATTGGGCAGGGTTAGGAAAAAAAGCCTGGCCAGGCCCTCCCTGGGCTCAATGGGTTAAAACACAGCACTATGAAGTTACCGCAGCCACTGAAGCAGAGTTCTATCCCCTGCCAGGGAAGTGACCCACCTGCTGCTCCCCTCACCCCTAAAAAAGCTGGAACTTTGATGTGTACAAGTGGAGAATACAAGTGGATTCTTTTCTACCAGAACCTACTGGGTGGCCCCCTTTTAGGCAGTGATACCATTGCCAGGGAATGAGTTTTCTAAGTAAAATAAGGTGTTAAACCTACATCTGAATAGGTTCTAACAGTTCTCAAAATCATTTAGAGGATTATACCACTCCCCAGGAACTTAACAGCTCCAATTATCATTTAACAACATGCATTTTTTGATTTCTCTATCAACACTATGAAAACTGCTTAAGTAGGAAGCAAGTGGTTCAGTTTAGCATCCTCTATGGCAATTCTAACCCCCTGCAATTTCAACTTCCTATCTTTATTTCACAATTTGTGATTTCTAATAAGAAAAACAAGTATCTATAGACAATATGCTGTCTAGTTTTTTATCCTAGATATTTCTACAGAATCTTCCTACCCATTACCAGTTCAAAGTTGTCATACCAACTAGGATGCTATTTAACTTTCCCCCAACTCCTCCTGCCTAGGTAATTAACATGCTATTTGCACAGATTATAACTACCTTCCTTCTTCAAAATCACCTCTGCCTTTCTAGACAATGGACGCATAAAGACTGAGGGCTTTGTTCTTTTGACCAAAATAGTAAAATAGGTCATTTAAAAATGTACTCTCAGGTTCCATCTAGAGATTACTACAGATTCTCATTTGATTCAACAATTCACTAAGTCACTAAATTTCTTGCAAAAACAGTGGTACATGTAAACATGTAACAATAATTATTAACTACAGTATCCAGGATTTCTATCCAGGATACACTGACTTTAAAAATCCCTAATCGAGAAAAATAGCTGCTTAAAACCAAGGGTCAAAAATTTTTTTTTAAAAAGTATATCTACTTAGTACTTAAAATTGATTCTGGTTCAATAGCATAGAAGAATCACTATAGGCACCTGTTTCACACTGCTGCATGCCCTTGGAGTCAATGAGAACACAACTTTTGACTTATGTGTACTTTGCTAAGTGTTCACTCTGCACTGAAAACTTTCACTACTTTAGGGTGAATGATATATAAAACACACGGTACTACTTATAAAATGCTAACTTTCTACTTTGAGTCACTAGAAGTATCGTGCAAAAGGACATGCATTTCATTTCTTCATTAATAAACACTATTTTAAAATTACTGAAAATGTACCTAAAACATGGGCAGGAAATGCAAAGACAAACAAATGCATAAGAAACTCTTACATGGCATTTACAGGCAAACTAAAGGTTGAGAAAATGGAACTTTAGCAAGATACTTTTTATTTGTAAACTAAACTTTAAAACCTTTATTGCACAAAGGCCTATGTAGTCTTCCTTAGAACAGGCCTACGTTGGCTGATTCAACAGCATTTAAGTGAACATTTATCTTTTAATAAATGTTAAAAGGAATATTTTCCACAAGATTCAACCAGAACCCTCAATTTGTTGATTTGACTTAATTTCATCACACAGATCTGCCTTAAGTTTAGGGACAGTAGAGGCAAACTAACAAAGTCACTAAGACAATATTCCATTTCAATTTGAAAGCAGTTAATGTTTATTAACTGACCAGATTACAAAAACAATCAATGGCAGACACCTGAAAGAAAAAAACAAAACTCATTAAAGAAACCAATTAACATTAAATTAACAAGTTAACACAAAGCACTTCAAGCTGTTATTAAATAACAACTATTTTTCAGTTTTAAGTAGTTAAGTATGTTGTCAAAAAGGAACCAAACCGTCACCATATAAAATTGTTCCTCTTTCCCCACTAAAAAAAGGGTAACGACAGCCAAATTATCATCAATAATGGAAGTAACTGAGTTTATTACCACTATTTTGCTAATACTATTAAGTAAATCTTTGTCAGGATGCTGTGCTCACCTCAGTTCATCCTTCTAATAAGCCTGTTGATCTGGTCTTCCCTGTTGCCAGCATCTCCACCTTCTACAAAATGGGTGGTTTTCTTCTTCATTCCACCTCGTGGAGAAGATAACTTGAAGGGCCAGAGGAAGTTGTTTGCCTCTTTGAAGCGTTTCCCAACAGTATAGATCTCATGAATCAGATCTTCCATACAGATGATGCCATATTTACCTGAACATTATAAAGTCATTAAAATTCAATGCTTTTAAAAGATAATGAAATTCTACGGCATTCAGCAAGCAAATACAGGCAGGAACAATTAGAAACAAATCAAGAGTAAAGAAATAAAGGGAAATGGTTTTATTTAAAGGTCACATTTAAGCCAATGAAACCTATTTCTTAAGCACCTAAGGTATTATGAAAAGGGACACACTAATGAGAATAGCAGGGTGATAAGATGTGAGAAGTAACAACCTTTGGATATTTCTCATACGGAAATTTTTCTTCAAATAGAAGGCACCTACCAAGTGATCGAGCAATCAATGCATTATCTGTTAGGGCAATTCTCTTCTTGTTGATTTTGCCATAGCCACGCTTGTAGATCAATTCATTTACTGACTTAAGGTTTGGGTACCTAAAATGTAAAAACCATACAAATGGGTTAAGATTTAAGTTTATCACCCTCAAAACCCCTAAAATTCTTCTGGCTAACATAGCCAGCTTACTAAATAGAAACCAAAGGAAATAGTCGACTTACCCCCATGCAATATATGGTTCCACAATCCTCAGCATGTTAATTGAAGCTTTGTTGAGCTTAACAAAGGTGCCATTGAAGATCTGACGAAGGCGAAGAAGTTGTAACACCTTTCGGACCTTTGGGCTCACACCATTGATACTGCAGCAAAGACAAGTTCGTGAGGCTTTTATCAGAATTTTTACCAGAAAGGGCAAGAAACTAACCATTATAATTTTGTAAGATGAGACTCACCTAAATAGAAGGACTCCTCTCATGCTATGAGAATATTTTCCCTAGTAAGCTAAATCATTCTTTAACTGCCACTAGTACATTCCCCCAAATATATTATCCACACACACTTGTGATTTAAAATCCCCTAACCCTTTCAAGGATTCCTAATTTCAGTATTCCTGAATCAATACATATACAGACACGTTTTATCTAATTTTGAGGCTAATCCAATGAATAGAGTACTTGGGACTAGTTTTCAACTTAACTGTTAATATTTAAGCCCCTTTACTCTGGCCTCCCCACAAGTGCTTCAGAACCAAGTCACCCAAAAGGAATGCAATGTTTTGGTGGCATCCTGTAGCTTCCCCTTTAAACTCAAGATGCAATAAACACTGAACTTACCCTCTGATCCTGATGACAAATGCCAACTTCGGTTCCGCAGGCACATAGAAGTTCCCAGCTTTTCTTGCCATCCTAGCCATTCGAATCTCAGTTCTGTACATTTGCCTATATTCCTTGTGATAATGCTTAGCTCTTTCATAGATAAGCTTCCTTCTTGCCTTTCGAAGCTGAAAACCAAGAATCAGTTACTCACTCATCTGATTTTTAAACTCTCAATCACAATTAGCAATATCAGTTCTATTAGCAACAACATCAAGCTTATTATTACTACAGCAGGTAACGATGTCTTGCTAAGAAAGAACATCCATCCTGTTTGTAACATGCACCAGCTTAGATGTCAAGTGCCTTTTTAAATAAGTTTACTTACCATCTTTTGGGCAAACTTCTTTCGCAGACGCTTGATCTTCAGCTCTGCGAAATTCCTCCGCTTTTTCTTAAGGGTTTCTGGCACAGAGGGAAGTTTCTTTTTCTTCTCTCGGGTTTGTGGCTTAGCAGCCACCTTCTTCTTCTTCTCCCTGCCATGAGCAAACAAATAGCCTTAGTAATAGCTCACAGATCTTCACCACTTCCATTCTGACCGCACACCTGTCCCTGGGCCAGTCACTGGCCCGACTTGTATTAACTGCTCTAGAATGCTGCGGTTTTAAGATACAGATTCTAGGAGAATCTCCATGCCAGTACCTTCACCGACCACTCTGCTTACAGGGCAGTCACAGCAATCCACGACGAGCCATGGCCTCCCACGACAAAAACATCCACCGCAAAGTAAGAAAAACGTATACTGAGGTTGTTTCAAGACACTGACACCTAAGTTTTCAGCGAGTAAATGTCTAGCAAACCTCAGTATTCCCAAAGAAACAAAATCAAACCCAAACCACCACCTTAACCTTGGTTCAAGTCTCAAGCTCCACAAGCCGAAAGCGAAGACCTGATGGTGGGGTGCACAGTGTTACTACCAACCAAAGACGAACTCGGAGCAGATTCTACTCCACTCAAAAGACGGTAATCCGCACTTAAGTTCAAGCAGCCGATACCGCACGTAGCCAGTCCTCCATACCTCGTTCCCCATTATCTCCAAAACCTCCGCCCTAAGACAACATGCATACCAGCTTCGCTTGGACCACTGCTCATGTCATAGAGCGTCACAAACACACAGATAAGTGGGGAAATGTACAAACTACAGTTATATCGTGGGGGATGAGACAAAGGGTCTCTGGTTTCGGGGATGGAGAAAGATTCTCCACAGGCCGAGAAGCAACTTACTCTGCACCCTCCATGGTTCCAGCCGGAAAAAGAGGAAGTTAGCGCATGCGCTCTGCCCACTTAAAGCGGGCGAGCGCGAAGCCCCGCGACTCTTAGGTGTCCCAGGATAAGCCAGAAAAGAATCCAGAACTGAGAGCTCGCTTTACAGACACGAAGTTAAGAACTGATTCAGCCTCTCACGATTAAATTTTGAGTAAAAAATTTATGTATAATGTATGCACTGATTAGACTCTTTAATCAATATGACAAGAGTTAAGAATGGTGACACCTTGACTACTTGGGGTCCTAGTGCCTAGGCTGCGTTGACAGATACCACTGGAATTCCACCCAATAATTTACGCATATGACGCGCCTCAAGGCAGCGAACTACAAATCCCAGCATGCATCACTTCCACAGCCTGCCCGGCGGGAGGGCAGCTCTTTACCGGGATTGTAGCTCTCATCGCGCTGTTAGTGCCAGCCAGGAAAATGTCTTTTGACCTACATTCCTAAGAGCTAGCTGTGATTCTAAGTCGCTCTCTAGACTCAGCTTTTGGCTGCCTTCTGGGCTCGCTGCCAACCCTAGTCACAGACCGGCGCTCGCGTTGCCGCGCTGCCAAGGTCCTTTCCTTCGTTCCTTCAACTGAAGGGCTGTCTTCCGCAGCGCCTGATTGCAGGTGGGGCCGTTCAGAGTCCCCAGATTAACGAAAGTGACGAGACTGGGACCAGCGAGGACTGGACTGCCGAGGAGGATGGCCAAGGCGCCGCCGACCGCTGGGCCTGGCAGGCGGAGGTCGGGACACCCCACTGCAGGGGGCGTGAACCGCGAAGGGAGGTGGGATGAGGGCTGGAGGCTGCGGCCACGGCCATGTGAGAGGGGCTGCCCCGCCGCGGCTCGGCGG